GGGGAAAAAGTTTGGTTCGATCCACTATCACAACATTTTACCGTAGTTTTTTTTTGACTTCATATTTTCAATGTCGATTAGAGTCGAAGCTCCTTCCATAGCGTAATTAATACAGCAAAAAAAGCTCAGTTGAATAACATTCCACCTCTTTTCAATACAAAGCGTACACCGTAGACGCAGAATGTAGATGTAAATATATTATGCTGTTATATTTTGCAGACTTTTTATTGTCATAAACTGTAGGTGTTGAATGAATGGTGAAAAATCGATTATATACACTTATAGCCTGTGGGGGTGCTGACCGAGTGGTTGGGATGCTCGTCGCTACGCGTGTGAAGCCGTTCTCCACCCCCCCCCCCCCCCCCCCCCCCTCCCCTCAATCCTTTTTCGGTAGTCAGCAACCCTTGTGGAACGTCACAACCAAACTATCCTTGAGACTGCAAGAAGGCCCGCCTAGCCAGTATTCTGCGATGCTCAAGAAGAAGACGAGAAAACGAATTGAATGCTAGAAGTACTAATCTGCACAGTCAAAAAAAAACTTCAAAGACGCATCAATAAAGTGTCTTAAAAAGTGTGATAGCTTGTGTTACGGCATTACTATATGATATATGGTGTGAATTCGTGTTAATAAATCAAGCATATTATAGTGAAAACAAAAAGGTAGCACCAAAAATTACATTGAAATGCTGTTCTAGAAGATCGAACCATCAACTTTCTTCCCAATGGACGGGTGCCGAGTGGCAGGGAAGAGTGAGACAGGCATTGATTGCCACGCTGAGATTAGAGTCGAGGAGGAGTGGAGGAGGTGGAACCGCCCCCATGCTGGCGATAAGAGCCCTTGCCCAGTTTAGGCAAGCCCAGTTTGGGTCCGCGGAGGTCAACCGGTTAGACGCTTCCCAAATCGCTCGTTTCGTCACCTCCAGATCTAAGGCTGCGTTGTTCATAATGTATCTTTGTGATGTAGATAGAGGTATCTGGACCAATCGGAGATATCCATTCTGATGAGTATGATTACGGCATTTGAATTCAGATTGATCTCAATGAACATCGTATCTGTCAAATCCAGTCGGTGTTGAATCTTTTCGCAAACATGGTCGAAATCGGTCAACATTCCGTCTAGCTGAAGCTTCGTGTAATAAAAGTATGCCACCAGCAATGCGAAGATGGTTTAATGTTGACCATGGGTTTTCATTCCCATATTGTCCCTTTCCAGCCCCTTATCTCCATTATACAACAATATCTTATAAATTTATAACAATATCTACATCACCATTTACGTGAGAAGAGGGGTTCGACAAGGCGATGCAATTTCGCCAAAATTATTCACTGCACCCTGCAAAGCGTCATGCAAACACTACAATGAGACGAAGTGGCAGCGAAAACCGACGGCCAACGATCAAACCATCTTTGCTTTGCTGATCATATTATCCTCATAAGACATGCATCAGCCAAGCGGAACGAACGTTGACCGATCCTCACAAAGCCTGTGGAAAGATTGATCTCCAGCTAAATCTAACGGAAACGATTTTCGTGAAGAAAGGACGGGTTTTGATGCCTTTTGATCCATGCCCAACGGAACGAAAATCTCCGAATGCTCCAGTTGCGTCTACCTTAGTCGTAAAAATCAATATGATGAACGACCTAGTTCCAGAGTTGAGCAGGAGGAAACGAGCGCCTTGGGGACGTTCAAGAGCATCAAAGATGTAGTGAAGAGGACTAAGAACAATCGACTCCGTGCCCACCTTTTCGATTCGACGATTACTCCTGCTCCAACGTATGCAGCAAAAAAAAAACCTGGTCGCCTAAGCAGCATGAAAGATCACTTGGCGTTAATGAAAGCGCAGTCAAGAGGTCAGTGCTACGAGTATCCCGTATCTTGCAAATGAGAGAAAGGATCCGAAGTCCCGACCTACGTCAACGATTGAAAATCAGAGAAGCCGTTTAACACGCCAGGATAGCGAAAATAAATTGGGGCGGACACGTGATGCACCTCAACAACAACCGATGGACGAGAGCCGTTATCGACTGAATTCCTCGGGACATCTAGCGCTCTTCAGGGAGACCACCAACTCGCTAGTCCGACTTCACGAAAGACATAGAAAAAAGATATGATGCTGAGCGAATCCCTAGAGCGAGGAAGACCCACTGGGCGACCTTTGCACGCTATAGGGAAAAATGGAATTGTTGCTGGAGCCCGCTCGAGTCATTTGACGATCAACGGGGCGGCAGGTGATACAGGTGATTGTATCTTTCCAATATTCACATGACGTCCTGAAGGGTGGAAGTGATTAATTTTGACGAGATGATATCGTCCTGTCCAACCCTTCTTCTTACACCGGTAGTAATATTGCTATAGGATTTATTATTATCTAATTTTGACATCTTTATATGGCTTGCGAAGAATCCTTACGTAGCGAGTAGGGATGCCATGGCTGTCCACAACTCCTATGACTGTTTCTGTTTTGACTTATCTAAAGAACTTCTTTAAGCTCAAAAAAGTGGGCAGAGCTGAATGCTCTTGTAAAACTTCATTGAGTCTTGTTATCGTGTAGATATAGTCTATCGTGGGAAATTTATTATAAAATCCTGGCTGTTTGCATAGTAGTTTTTGTCAAGTGTTCTGTTAATCTTGGAGATTGGTAGATAATTACTGACGTCGTGATGGCCGTCCTTTTTAACAAAGCGGTTTTGCTTGATTTCTACAGGCTAGGAATCTACATTCTTATAGATAACACATGAAGAGCAGATTTAATGCGTTGGTAAGAACTGGAGTGAGATCGTTTATGTTTTTAGGTCTTATCCACTATGGACCATGAGCTGTTCGATTCTTCACCGACAAAGTAGCATACCGGATTTAGAAAAGGAGATTTGGTGAAACGACAAAGCCGTCCTCCTTGATGTATCCAAAAGTTAAAGGTTGATAACAATTAAAGAGATTCAAAAATAGTCGTGAGTGAATTTTTTCATAGCCTTTCTGGAAATTGCTAGGTTTCTTCATGGCGTCAAAGTGCAATCATGCTACTCTTTCCTCCTCGGAATCTTCTTTAGTCGTTTTTTCTGCAGCGTTTCTAAGTTTCGACGTGAGTAGCCGGTTTCATGGAGTTTAAACGATTCCACCTTAAAGTATTATCTCAAGTGTTTCTGGAGACATACGTTTTTTGGCAACTAGAGAAACGCGAATATATTGGTTGAGCCGGTCATATTCCTTGTCGACAGTGGTGATAAGAATATTTTCTCGAGAGCCGAATAATGATCTAAGTGCATTCCCCTTCATAGTAGTCTTAGGATCTTGTTGTTTAACTTAGAAACCTTCTTTTCTTTTTGCAAAATTGGAGAGTTGCGTGAAGGAGGGGATGTTCTGATTTGAGAATTTGTAGCAACGACCATCGGTTAGGCAGAATCCTCGATTTACCAAGATGTGTTTATTTTGTTTTGCTACTCGTCATCTGACAACCCTTTCTCCTACCACCGCTGAGAGTGAAGCACTTGAAATTGTGAATCATCACTATTGGTTTTGGTCATCATGGCAAATTGAAACAGCCCTCATCCTCTTCGATCCATTTGGACCGCGAGTTTCCAATCTAATGTTGCTCAACAGATTTCAATTCCAATTCTAGTGTAGCTCTTCATTGGTGACATTGAGGAATGCATCTTCTCTTTTGAAGAACTTTTCTAACTTGAAATCAATCAAAGTTTATTTTATTTGACTGCCGATTACGGTGGCATGATGCTACAATAGACTTAAAAATATAGAGTGGTGCCCATAACGTTTGCTTCAGTTGAGATTCAAACCAAGATTTCACCTCTTTCCGGGAGCGCGTGCTCAAAAATTGCACTACTGGACGCCCATTTTGACACCACTTTTTCTACGCTACAAACGCGCAATCTGTAAGCAGCCAATCGTCTGCGGTTTGGCGTGGGCAGTCACTATCGACATTGAACCCAGATAGCAACTGGTAACATAGTTGATAGTGACTGCTACACCAGACCGTAGACGGTCGGCTGTTGACAAATAACGCGTTGTCGCGTAGAAAGAGTGGTGTCGAAACGGGCGTCGGTAATGTAACAGTTCAGCACGCGCTCTCGGAAAGAGTGAGGTCTAAGTTCGAATCCCAGATGACGCAAACGCTCTTGCACACCACTCTACATTATTGGGTTTTCGACTCATTTTAGAAGGATTCGACTTCGCCTTCGTCATAGCTAGATGTTGGTAGGTAAACAATAAGAGTTGACCAAAACCGGCACTGAACCATAGGGCTTTGACTGTAATCGTCTGATCTCGGTTGTTGATTGTTTGAATGATGACGTCATACCTTATTGTTCTGGCCTGCGTTATTTGTTCTCACATTTTATTCGTAAGCAAATATGGTGCGTTATAGTTACAGATCTTTACCTTAGTCCGTTGTGATTTCGGCAGCCTAGTTTAGCCCTGAGAAATCAACACCCTCTCGTACACGTCCTTTCCGATCTTCCTGTGTCATTACGGATTCGCATATATACATATGCATATATATACATACATATATATATATATGTATTTATATATATATGTATATATATGTCACTTTCACTTCATCACCTTATTTGATCCGTCCCATGTTCTATTTTACTGGCCGGATCGCAGTTGTTTTTGGCACGCAATTCATCTCCTCCACCTAATCGCTTGGCTGAAGATGTGTCTCCTTGATCAATGCAGTAGAGTACTGGTCTAGCACGTGACCTCAAGGATAGCCAGGTCGAGGCGTTCTATAAGGCAGTCGCTGCTGATTGTCGAACAGTGCTGGCTGGTGGGGATTAACCAGCGTCACCCCGAGACGAGCATCGTAATCACTCGACCACGCCTCCCCTTGAATATATATAATATATATATATATATAATAATAATATATATATATATATATATGGCCTCAGGCGAGAATCAATCTTTCGCTTCAACCTGTTAAAGGTTGGTGGCTGACAGCTGGCACAGAGATGTTGAAGGATGAGTGGTCGGGCAAATGTGTCTCGGTGGCGTAGTGGTAGAGCACGCATCCCTGGATAGAACGAAACGTGGGTTCGATTCCTGTCTGAGCAACGTTTTTGCCCACCACTCAGTTCTCTTAGGTGTATATGAAAACATCACAACACTACGAAAAAGGCCGGCAAAAGCAATAGAAATTTGGATTATTGCAAATTTATATATATATATATCCCTTTGCGGACGGCAGCGTAATCGATATCGCCAGTGAAGCGCGATACTCGCTCCTCAACAAGGATTTTTTCTTGGTTTCGAGAAACATGTCAAGTTCTTTAAATCAGTCTAGTAGAGCATGACTCTCTCCACAAGTTTGTATACTATTTGTGCGTTTATAAAATGCGCAACGAAAACTCGGAACGTGAAGCTTAGTTTTATTTTTGCTCTCACACCGCGCTATAAAAAACCTTCTCGCGAACCGGTTCTAAATCCACCGTTATTTGATTTATCGAGTGAACTCAGTGTACTCCAGTAAGAAGCTATCCACAGACTCTAACTGAGCAAATAAGGTGAGCCAGTGTGAAGCACTACTTTATTTTTGCTGCTACAGCGTACTATAAAGGTTTTTTTTGGGAAGCAAGCAATGTCCGAATCCGTGCAATTTGATTGTTCATCAAAAATACTCCTCTGAAAATTTGAAGGTCACAATGACCCTCATCTTCCGCAGAGAGGACATATATATATATATATATATATATAAACATATATATACATATATATATATACATATATGTATATATATATTATATCGAGCGCATGTAGCACTGTTGCCAGAGGAGTGTCCGCGTCGCACACAATTCCGATGATTTGATCTCGGGCCACGACTCACCAGGCCATCCAAAACTATCCATCCTTACAGGATCTTTAAACTGGTCTAAAATTTTCTGGAAGAATAAGCAGCAGTGACTTAATAGAGCGGTAGGCCACCGTGAGTCATTGTAAAGGCGAGATATGCATTCAATCACTTCGAACGAAACTAGATATTGAAGACGAACGCCTGGCGCATTCCCCAGGCATGGATCAACGGCAAGTTTTTCCTATACATACATACATATATATATATACATATATATATATGTTTGCATATTATTCATACATTTAAATATATATGTGCATATATATATATATATATATATATGCCTAAGCGCATGTGGCGCAGTGGTTAGAGGTGCTCTGCGTCGCACACGAGGTCAGTGGTTCGATCTCGCGCTCGTGGCTCACCAAGCCATCCATCCCTCCGGGGTCGGTAAATTGGTACCAGACAGGTCTCAGACTTGTCTGGGAAGATAAGCAGCACTGACTCGGTTCAGCGGGAGGCCACCGCGAGTCATTGTAAAGGGCCAGATATGCATTCAATCACCTCAAAACGAAGTTAAAAATTGAAGTCGAATGCATGGCGCATCCCTCAGGGAATGATCAACGCCGAGGCTTTATCCTTTTATCCTTTTATATATATGCCTGGTAATCTTTTTTTGAGCCACTCGTGTCAGTGGTCTTTTAAAGAGGGCTGACTTATAGAGTACCAAATACTACCAGGCATATTGAAATTTGAGCTATGGTCTTAGTGAAAAAAAACACTTGAAACAAAAGATATGATCATTATATATGCAGCGTGCATGCAAATATAATACCTTACGTACAGACTACAGTACTTCAAATAGGTGTTATCTCTCATAAATATTCCGTAAAAAGCCTTCGTCGTTTTATATTTCTCCATTTCTTCTCAAAATTGAAAGTGTCGCTTATAACTAGGAAGTGTATGTGTAACTCCTCCTTTAGTACACAAGCCGCTACTAATGCACCAGAAGCGTTTGAATGCGTAGAAAAATTCACGAATCATTTACAGAATATGAAATACGTGAACAAAATATCGAAACGCAAAAAAAGTGATTCACTGAGCTGAAATTACAGTGAAAGGAGCGATCGCAATAGAACTTTCCCTAAGTTGCTGTCTACACAAGCTTTCCTTCCTTTAAGGTGCTTGAAATTTTGTCTTCATGGATCCCAGCACTTGCATTCTATTCCTTTCCTCACATTCATCTTCTACAAAAGTCTTCGAACATTCCACAGGTCACTTCGACTGCTGCTTGAGGAATTCGTCATATAAATGAATGTAACAGAATGCTGGTTGAGACGATTCCTCCAATAGACTCCGAGGAAGTGCTAGGGATGGGGACGGAACCATAGCATCGCTCATCGCATGTGTTTTTTTTCTTTGATACATCGCATCCTAAATATTGCGCTTCCGTGCCCCTATATATAGTATTATACTATATATATATATATATATATATATATATATAATACACTAACACTGCGAAGCAAAATGCGAAAGATTACTTATAGTTACGGTAACAAAACTTCGAAGCACATACAAAAACATGAAGCAGCTATAGATCTTACTTTTTCGATGGTATATTTTTGCGTGTAGAAGTTTTCTCGTGAGTTATTTAAGATCATTCAATATCATATATGATGTAGATATACAAAATCCCATCGACTCCACGGAAAGTTGTCCTCTCAACAATTTGCCACTCGATTATCTTCATCGAACCTCGCTGTAAGAAAGTGAAAGTAAATCATATGGGAGCAACTGCATGTCTCTAACCAGCGATTGATTGATTACAAATACTCCTAGAGAAGTCTTCATGCACCAAATTGACCAGCGAAAAATGTGTGGTTTTATAAACGAAGCCTCACCGTTCCTGTATTAAATCGAACGCTGTAGTAACTTTGAGAAGACAACTTGAGTATTTATCTAAAAAAAATGCATAGAAGAGCTTCAAAAAAAAAAGAACATCGTGCACGAAAATCCTAGGAGCTCAGCTAAAGTCGACAATGTAACAGGAAAGTCGTTCAAAGGCATTACTCTTGTTGGCGATGGTTGCCCCCTACCAGAATTAGGCAACTTCTCACGAGAGTCACATATGTCTAAGGAGACCTTGCGGAGGACATGAGCATGCAGTTTGGGGGGCTTCCAACAATGAATAATTAGCATGAGGTAGGTGCATTACCAGCACCGACGTTTTGCCAAGCGTTCTTTCAAACACTAAGACCGCAACGGCGAAATACACATCAATTCAACATTTTTTTTTTCACACGAAACGATCAAAATTTGATGCAGCCTTATTTCAATGGGAAAAAGTAATACACGACAGCTTCGGGAACTAATAAAATCCAACAAGAATAGACTGGCAAATATAAGGATGCTGAAATATGAGCTCGGAAAATCAGGTGAGCTTCAAACCCGTGACTAGTTACCTGAAGATCACATGCCATTCATTACACTGACGAAAGCCCTTGCTTTGCTTTTTCTTTGCCCATGTTCTAACCCTATGATGCTATCATTGATTAAGCTCCAAACAAAAGTGATCTGGACGGCATAAGTCGGCATAGAAACCACCTAATATGGAGCTGCACTCGAAATCACAATGTTTCGACTTTTTATTCACTACTGATTCATCGTAATGACCAAGCAGATGCTCAGAGTGAATCTTTGTCTATAAATCTCACTCAGATCAGTGCTTTCAATGTTCTTTATTCTAATGCTAACCTAGTCACGAAATGGCAAACCTCTCTGCGATGCATATGGTCCGACGATAGACCGCATGCGGTGGTCACTTGAAAGCACCATAGAGTCTGTATTGAAACTCAGAGAAAGAGAAATACATCTTGTTCAACTGATATGCTAGTCTAGCGAGCGAGATTTAAGTGTTAAGTGATAGTGCTAACTAAAGCTTGATTGAGAGTCGTTACGCAACGATTAGATTTGAATATCATGAAACGCCTCCACTGCGAATGTAATGGTGGTGACTGAAGTCGATTTAGAGAAAACAAAAAGTTGCTACATTACGATTCTGAGTGCAGATTCTGCTTAGCTCGGTTTAATACCAATCTGTGTTCCCTAAATCATTCCCGATGGCTGGTATTGCTGAACAACCGCCGAATTGATCAAACCACTGCAGAGGGGAAGGCTCAGAGAGGCGTCCATCTTTTCCTTATAAGTCATACCGCACTGTGTCGTTTACCAGGAAACTGGCAGAAGATAAGAAGTTGAAATTAGATTAAAGTTTCTTATTCTCGGGAGGTGGAAGGGGGTGTGGAGGAATGGCGGAATGATTAGCGATGCAGGACATATGAAAGCGAGACATTCGTGCGACCACCTAGCTAATCTACCTCCGGAATATTAAAAGAATCGTCTAAACCAATATTCTATTGAATTCATAAAGAAGGCGAGATCTTCAATCAGCTGTTGAAGCAGCACTTAAAAATTTGAAGACTCTTTGAGGACTGAATGTGGGCGATTGCAAAAAGGGCTGGAATATACATGTTATATGTGGGGGCGAGTCTCGTAAAACCAAACAATAACCATACTTTCAAAAGTCTTCAAGGCACTCTACACGCTGTTGCCTTTTATAAGAGTCGTCGAATTATTATTCATTGGTCATCGCATACTCTGTAAAAGACGAATGCGTTTACCATACTTAGGCCAGCCTATGCTCGATCTGCGTATATCACTGTTGATGCGGACGAATTTCCCAAAGATGCGTTCTATTCTTGTTTGAGTATACCTCAGAAATGTTTGGAATAGATGGTGACAGCTACTGACTGCGAGCCAGATTCTTCAACGAAACCTTTTTACGCTGCTATTGCGTCTTCTTTGAGACTTCGCTTGATGCATTTCTGATCATTCTTATATTTATTTATCTCTGTAAATGAATCATATCTGCCACTTTGAGGAGAAGATTGTCCTTTCTAAGATTACCATTATATCCACCATGTGGTGCTGATATGCGTCCGCGTTTTATGCGAACATTTCTTGTTTGCTCGAACGAGAACTTCTTGGAATAAGACATTTTTCTGAATATTGACCTACTTCAGTATCTAGACAACATTTCGATTAAAAAGGTTTTTAACACATCGCCACATCTCTAATATTAGCAGAAGTTAATTTTTGTTGAATGTACGAGATGATAATAACAGTTTCCACTTTCGATTTCAATCTAATTTTTCCTAGACATTTGATTATACATCCCAATTATTCGACAAACCAGGTACAA